TTTTTGTCAGATTGAGAAGAGAGAATTCTTCAATTGAATCATCTCTGAAACGTCACAGAAAGAAAATTATACATTAACTATTTCTTAGCAAAATCAATTCCTAAGTGCAGAAGTATGAAAAGAAAATACAGGAGAATGTTAGCAAACCAGTAACCCACTTGAGTTCAAGTTCTTTTACTCCTGATTTATGAAGTGGAGCCAAAATAGCATATAATGTACAAGGCCTGTTGTAGCAGTATTTTATGCCAAGCTTTCTTTTATCTGCTGACCAGGCAACAAAAACCAAATATTGATCTGAGCTTTCCATGGATGGGGCCCATACAACCTGACCAACACTCAAGGACTTTGGAATTCCTTCAACAGCTCGTACCTCTCCACTGTAAAACATGGGGCAGTTCAAATTTCATCTAACCAAAATTAAACTAAGTCATCTCATAATCAGTGTCTTTTATTAAACAAGAGGAAGTAATGGCAGACCTGTCAATCCTGATGATAAATAATGCAGGCTTCCTTTTTCCCGCATAGGCTTCCCCCCACTCCTCCTCCCAATCACCTCGACCTTTCCAGCTACCACAGTCTTTATCTGTTGAGCCTACTTTGTTATAACCAAGACTGTTAAACGTGGGCCTTGATGAAGATGGTTCCTCAGCAACATAAGCAACAAAACTTTCATCACAATTCCAGGAAATCCCCTCAAACCTAAACCATCAAGAGAGTTTTCAACTCTTAGATGTCCAGCGATAATAGTATATGATGGCATGCTGATCTATAACAAGAACCATGTTCATAGCTGTTGCCACCACAAACATACAAGAAGTTATCTTGCATTTGAATAAAAACTTATGTTATCAAACCAAAATATGTCCCTTAAGTTGGTATTAGGAAAAAATTGCTCAAAAAATAATTAGATACCATCCATCAACATATACTGAGCCATGAACAGAGTGAGGGATCAGGAACTCTTTCTCCAACTGAGATGGACCCCATATTTCAAATTGGGTGGGAGATTCATTTTCAGGATTTCGAACTACAAGAAGCTTTGAACCTGATGGAGATGGAATGATAGCCGAGATACCAGTCATCTCAACAGGGAATGGAGCCCATTGAAAATTTACAGAACCACTACTTTCTTTTGAGATGTTACTGGATAACATAAATTTTCTCCTTTTGTTTGCTAAGAGATTTGGTTGACTAATAGAAAACATTGCCTGGGAGCCTGCAGGAATAGTTTTAAAAAATTCTGGCTTAGAAACAAGAGAAAAGTTAAATGTTAGAAAAACAAAAAAATTACCATTGTAGGACTCCATACCACTATCAGACTTGAAAATCCATGCCTTGTCAATGCTGGAGATCCCAACAAACTCCTGAAGTAACTTAGACTGGGAAGCATATTCCTCTTCAGTTGTTGAGTCGAAACTCTGGTTTCAAGTC